ATCCAAAATATTATTTTAAAAAGTAAAATTATATTATGCCTGTGTTCACTGTTAAATATACTCGTGACAGTACAGTATATGTGGGATGGTGTTTTGATGCAAGGAGTTGGTAGTTTATGTTGCTGTAGTGTTGTACCCTCTCCTGTATGCTGTTTTATTGTTATTTATTAAATTTATGATGTAATCAATTAACAGGGGAAAAAAAATGCTTGCGGTACACCATGTATGTACTCTAGTTCTAAAAGAAATTAAAGAAAATTAGGTGCAGCCCTCAGTGTTAAATCAAAAATATACTGTGACCCTCCGTCCTATTTTTATGCCCATCCCTGCAATACACTTCTTTTAGAACACCAAACATGAATGAAATGCGAGGAAAAGAGTTACAATTTAATACATTTATTAACAATATAAAATGAAAGTTATTCTACAATATTCATTGGATGTTGCCTGTTTGGTTTTTAAAATAAAATTACCTGTACATTTTATCTAATTACCATTACATTGTATCTAATTGCAATAGCAATCCAATTATAAATTATATTTTCTAAACTAGTTATATTTATTAATAATTCTGTCTTTTTATTAATAGCACTTTCAGTGGTGCAGCACTGGTTTCACAAGTGGATTAAATAAACAAAAAAAATGAAAGAAAAATAAATCGGAATGAAAAGACGTTTTAACAATAAAAATGTATGCCGCCAGGCTCAATATGCAGTTAGGAAGATAGCTCAATATGAACACGAGTATGACGACAGATAGCTCGGCCTAGGTCAATCACTGGATTTTGTGCGAGTCCGACGCAAAATATAGGTTCAGTGATGGGCGAATATCTCTGATAGCCATAGTTGCTCGCTCAAGAGACTTAGGGCATTTGTAAGCTAAATATCAATCTTTTAATACATAGAAATCAGAATGACGAGCAATTGTGAATTTTGATAATATATAGTCTAGAAAAGTAAGTAATTTGAAACAATGCCAGTACACATACTTACCAAAAAATGACTTATAATTGCTTGCTTAGTTAAATCTCACTATGGAGTTTGATAGGAAATGCTTTTAAAACATATGTAAAGTGCTTTTAAACCAGTCGTTATGCACTAAATTGCTGTATATTTGTAAAAAAAAACCACAAAAGAGTTTCTTTTTTAAAAACGACTGGTTTGAAGCCTAAGAGAAATTTTCTGACGTTGGTGGTGATATTTTCATCTTTTTCGCTTGACTGTCGGTACCGCGTGTTTAGGCACAAAGAACTAGGACACAGCAGGGGCAATTAGACAAGAACAATAGCGAACAATAGGTACCTAATAGGATTAGCACGCCTTAGTATTTTGAGATCATTCCATGTAATTTCACTGTTCCCTGGTTTAATGTAATAATTTCACCTATGTATTTCCTTCATTAGAATATATACACTCGTTAGGTTTAAGTTCATGAGTTACACTATGACATATTGTGGATCCAGCCCATAGTTTCCATACTCACATTATGTTCAAACAATCATGAAAGTTCATCAAGCCAAATGGAGGCCATTTTGATTAGTCAAAAGTTTTGTTCTAGATTGGATGATGGTTAGCATTGGGTCTATCAGGACAGGGATACTGTGTCTTAATATTATGATGAGCAGGCTAGTGAATGAGAGCTGCTCTCAATAATGGTGTATGAAGCTTAGAGACTTGTGTCATTATATATATATTTTTTTAAATCTCATTTGCATCATCCAACGCCTTTCATCAAACAGCAAGTAACTTGCCAATTACAGGATGGAATGATGCTTTATAAAGCAAGTCTCTTTATGAGGCTTAGGGAGTGGATTTTATTTTAGTTTTAAGAAAAATTACTCAGTTGTTGGATTTGAACCTCGGACTCTAGATTAGAAGGCAACCACCTTAGCCACTAAGCTATACACCACTACAAAGCTATACAACTCCACTCTACTATATTGTCAGTAAAGTGATTTAAAAAGAAATAAGAAGTATGGGACCAAGCAGGGAATGTTGTGGAACAACTGCATTCATTTTATGGACTGTGAAGTTTTGACTATTGAGACTATTGCAATCAGCAAAATGAAATGAGTATTCTTAAAATTTGGTGAAGCCATAGGCCTGTAGTTTATATCGCTCTATGTCTCTCAACACCAACATTTGTATATTGTAGTCTAGTAGGCCACTGGCAGCTCCCCCACCCCGATATCGTTCCTAACTACTATATAATGAAAATACTGTATACCTAGGCCTACAAATTTAAAAAAAAAATTAAAAAAAATGTTTTTCTAAAAAATGTTTAAGTACCACATATTGCTACGATTTGCCTATCAAATAACATTACCAATGTGGTCTGAAATCACTGTTTTGGTCCATAAAACTCACTCCCTCTGAATTGTTCAAGTTTAACCACCACACAAATTTGACCCAACTTTATATTTTCTGATTTTTTTAAAATCATGCATCATGCATAGGAACATTGACACATGCAAGGCTCTGGCTCTTAATCTATACCATGTTGTTATAACACTACAGTATTAGAAAAGCAGCACTGTAGGATTAATACAAGTATTTTACCAAAGAATAACAGTTAACAGTATAATTTACCTTATCATCAACAGTTTTGATGAATTGATTCCCTGTGGGCATATCTTACACCTAAGGGTGCATTCGGGCGAGTTTTTTGAGGAGTCTACAGTAACATGGGATAAATCTGGAAACGGCCATTTCCAGTTCTAGCCCGAACAGGTGTTAAATCGCCTGCTGATATTGCAGTGTTTTGGAGGAGCAAAAGCAGCATGCATGAGCATCAGGGAGCATTTATTATCACTTAATCCCCTTTGATTGTTTCAACATGCGCCAGAAGTAAAGTCTGTTTCAATTTTTACCGTCCCTACTTCTTTTACAGTTTCCAAAAACAAAACTGAAAAGCTTGATAAAATTAGTTAACTGAGGGCTAGCCTAGATTCCAGATTCTTACCTTATTACATACGTCCACCACATACATACATGATCGTGGTACCACTGCTTTCGTTTAACAGTGGTAGTAATTTTCTGTTTTTAAAGAACAAACGAATGAAAGTTTATTCATGGTTTATATGCCCAAAATGCACATCTGCGATTTATTGGGAGCTTGCAATGTATGCTTTATTATTGTTGTAGCTTCTTCAGTGATTTAATTACTTGATTTTGAGACAACATTATGCAATGGACCAACGCCAAAGTCTGATATAGTCAGTTAAACATGCAAGGTATCGCTAATTAGCTTAAACTTCGTTAGCGCGTATCTCAAAATTTTGCATTTACTGTAGGTCTTTGTCAATTCTTTCTTTATTCAATTCAATTCAATTTAATTTAATTACAAATGAAAATATATAATTTGGATAATATAAAATGGTAAATATCAAAAATTGTACACACATTAAAAAGTGATTATCATTATATAAAAATATTTAGAGAACAATACTGTATATAAAACATTCAAATTCGGAATAATAAATTACAAAAATTCCATTGCACAGATTTAAAAATTGATTATATAATAATAGAAGAGACAAAAAATAAGAACATTCACAATAATTATTACCAAAAGTAAAGAATTGCACAAATGTTAACAAAGGAAAGAAGGGATTACACAAAAGAAAGGGGTTGTAAAAATGTTAAAAGGGGAACATTACAGAAATATAAACAGGAAACTATTAAAACATTTTTTTAAAAGCAAACAAAAACATCAAGAAGGTAACAAGTGAGCCAAGCATAGTAGTTGTCACATACCATATCTTTGTCATAGAGTTGTTGTTATACCATGCAGGAGATATTTACCATATTATTGTCAAGAGGAGTTGTTATACCATGCACGGAATATTTTACCACCAAACACAACAAAATTTAGAATGAACTTCTTAGATCTTTTATTTCATATTAAAATTTATGTTATTACTATTATTATTAATTTTATGAATCCTATTGATTAATCAGGGGCGGATCCAGAAATGTCCAAAAGGGGGGGCCGGAGGGCCGGAAGGGGGGCCGAAAGTTGGGCCAATTGAGACAACACTGTCGTAGGGGGTCCGGGGCATGCCCCCGCGAAATTTCTGTGTTCTAGACGATCAAACATAACATTTGAGGCATTCTGGGCTATCATTTTTTTCTATTTCTCTCTTTTTTTTTCTTTTTTTTTCTTTTTTTACCTCCCAAAAGGGGGGGGCCGGGCGGGGCCGGGCCTGTCTCTTATACACATCTAGATGTGTGGCCGGGGCCGGGCCGCCCCCCCCCCCTAAATCCGCCCCTGTTAATTGAAATGGAAAAAAATACACAAAAAACAATGTCAAAGTAAGCATAAGGGCCCCTGTCATTACCACTTTTATTGTAGTCATTCTCTGTTGACAGTGCAGTAAATTTTAGAATTAATTATTTATCTAGTTAATTTGTTGAAAACTTGTATCTCTGCAGTAAACATGACTAATTAGAATCATTAAATCTCTATTTTGTTTATTTTTGTCAATCAAATGATTATTCATAATTAATTTGACAGCAAGCACAAATATGAAAGGGTAGGTTTGCTAGTGTAAAACTTGAATATTCCTATTTCTCATAAATCAATGCATTGATTTATATCAGCATTATTTTGTTTTCATTAGAGCCTTAATGAATAATTCATCTAAGTTGATAATAAATACTATTTCCATATGTATTCCAGCCAGACTAGCAGTTGAATAATTTCTGTCAATCTTCCCACAAATTTATACCAGTAGTTTAAAAATTACTTTATGGTCTCCCATTGAAAGGATTTTTATAAATAATTATTAAATCTAAACTACCAATTTTGATACTAATCTAGTTTACTTTTTCAGAATCCCTTCTTAGCACCGTTTTCAAGTGTATTTTTTGTTTTGATTGTTAAGCTTGTTTTATGAGGGATAGTAAAAGAAATGAAATAAAATGAAACCATCCATACATACATTTATGTAGTGATCTTATGTGAGAAAACAAATTCATTCAACTTCTTTTTTTTTTTAGTGCTGATGTTATTGTTCTGTGCTTTTCTATTGCTGACCCGATTTCTCTGGCAAATGTTAAACGTGTTTGGGCAGTGGAGATTAATAGAGTGTGCCCTCGTACTCCTGTCATTCTCTGTGGAACAAAGAATGATTTACGCAGCTCCGATATACAACTTTTGATGAAAGACCGTAGCAAATTCAGGTACAAGCTATTTCAATTTATAATTCATAATTTCTACCTTCTATAACATTAATTGACCTTCACCTCTGCCAGAATTGTTTACACATACCGAAATTACATTCTCTACTAGAGAAACATTCAAATGTTTGTTTTGAGATTTGCAGCAGTGCCCTGCACTCTGTCTAAAATTACATTTGTTATACTTACTAGCAGGGGTTTATTTATGAATTTGAGTAGCAGGAGAAATTTGAAAGTAACAGGAGAGTAAATTGAAATAGGCCGGTTTATAGGGGGGGTGTGCCTAGGCCCCCATCGGGGTCCAGGGGCAAAGCCCTGGTCGGGGGTCAAGGGGGTAGAGTTTTTTAAGCCCATTTGATGGCATTTCTCTACATCATTTTTTTTAAGAGTTTTCAGAATCAACTATGAGCTGTAAAAAATACATAGGCCTAGCCTAAATAGATACTGTAAACCAGAAACTTTCGCGAATTGATAATTTCGGCCGTTTTCTCGACATTAAACTTTCGCGAATCTCAAAAAACCTAAATTTAATTCATGAGAGGAATATCATACAATAGCTGAAAATATCGTATCGTGAGTTTAGGCCTAGGTTAGATAGGCCTACAGCCACTGTGTAGGCTATATCTAGGCCTTTGGCAGGCTTAGGCGCCATATAAGCCTGCAGCCTACCTCAGTTGCTAGGACTTAGCTGGCTATCCCAGGCACAGATAAGAAAGAGACAAGTTTACACACACATACACTACTCACTCATATGATATTCCATAATTTTGTATGGTATTCAAGCATCCTACAAAATGAACAATGTTTATCAATGTTATATTAACAAATTATTTTCCTGTAGGCCTAATACCGATTCAAACACATTGATTGATGATGATTGAACATCGTGGTATGTCATATGGTACGGAAAATTAGTTTCCCATTTGAACTTCTTAGTATACACTGCACAGTGGTTGCACATGTGCAATCACATGCAGTGATACTCACAACCTCATTAATTAGTGTACTTACTGAGTAGGTTAGAATAGGCCTAGAATTTACGAATTTTTCGAGCTCAACATCGGAATTTAAGGTCAGAATATTGATTCAATAATTGAAATACATTCTTTTTTAGTTTATAAACATTTAATAAAATCCACCAAAATAAATTGAAAATACAATTTTTATAATTATGAAGTTGTTTACTTTTCACAAATATGTTGAAATTTGTGGGGATTCACCATTTAGGCCTATGCGCCCTAGATCTGCGTTGAAGAAAACATGTAAGGAGAGCAAAAAATAGTTCTAAAATTTACGCAGATATCGAAAAGGAATGGATACCACATTGGAAAAAAATGTCTCATGTGATGTCGTGAATTGAGACGATTTGGGCTTGCTTTGCCGTTTAATCATTGTAGGCCTACTATCTATAACTCTGAAATTGTGAGTGTAAACAGCATTCAATATAGTTGGTTCGCCTTGCTACCTCCGCCACCGAGTGTAAACGAATTTGAGCCAGTGTTGGTTTATTTTTTATTATTTATCATTTCCGAAATATCTATGTCATCACAAAGAGGGCTAGTAAAATAAAAATAAAATGAAAATAAAAGGTTCATAGTCATACACAAATTAATTTAAAAATGACGATCTGTTTTTTTCTTCTCCGCGGTAAGAAAACCCGGAAGCCCAATGTACGGAAAAAGAGTTTGGGCGATGTATATAGTCATCACCTGAGCACGTGGTGGAGGAGAAATTTCTATTATCTTATTGGCTAACAAGTGATTTGGAGGCGTGGCTTCTTTGATGGACTCACCCAGGCGCGACTGCCGAACTTTGAACTTTAGCTTTGTTTACGCCGTGAGTTCATGAAAGTCAAACATGGAGTCTGAGAATTGGTAGACATTTTAACGAACTTTCAACAGAAAGGAACATCAAAATTGGTGCATACTATTGCAAATTCACTTCGTGTAGGTAAATAAGGTTCTTTACAGGCCTGTTGCACTATTTATATTGGTGGTTTTTGTATAAATTTTTGTACAGCATTGATTGAAGTAGCCGGCGAAAACATCGTAGTAGCCGATCAAATGCGCCGGCCGCCGGCTCTTAAATAAACCCCTGCTTACTAGTGTAATAAATTTCCATTCCTTTCCTTAGTGTAATATATTTAATATATAGAACATTTTAGAATTACATTATGTGTCCAAATAAACAGTGTAAACCACATTGATAATAATAGGAACACATGACACCATGTAGAATCCAAGAGTAATATTTGAAAGCTTCTGGAATTTTGGGTACTGTATAGGCAATAAACCTAATTGGTTAATTATGATGTAATGTGACCAATGAGGAATGCTCTTGAATGCTCTGGAGTTTAGGGCTAATATAAGGTGAGAGCTTGGTCTTTCGAGGAGCTCTTTTTGGAAACACATGTTTATGTGAATGTTATTGTGTTGCTTTGAGACCGGATTCTTGTTGGAGTTTATACAGAATAAAAGTTTATTTAGAGTTGTGTTACAACATTGTGAGCGTGTTTATATTTTATATGTCAAAGAGGGATTCCTAGTCATTTCTATGCTGCTCGGAAATACGTCAAGTAGGAATTCATGACAAGTAGCAATATTCTTATATCAATATTCAATAACAGGAGCATATTGTACTTCATTAGTTTTACATAATGCATAACACTGCAGTACTAGGTGGTGGCATATGTTGATTGAAATCAAATATTGTTATTGTTTCTTGGAATTTTACAATACTACACGTACATGGCACCAAATATGTCAAAAATTTTTTCTGTTTGAAGTCACAGATGCTTGGGTTATATAAAAGATACTCTGGTTATATACCAGGTTCTGCTGGCGTGAAAGTAAATCATATGTAATTTGGTTTTAAATTAATATATTACATTCTGTGCATTAGACATAGAAGTATTCATTTTTGCGTTTTTTTTATCTTTAAATCATTAGTCACCATTGTTCACGACATCGACTCTTTGACCCCAAGAACGTCTTAATGCCTAGCTACGGTAGGCAAACTGCTAAGGACATAGGAGCCTACTACTATGAAACCAGTTCATATACACAGTACGGCATCACTGAAGTGTTCAACAGTGCCATTCGTGCAGCTTTGATTCATCGCAGACACCACCGCTTCCTACACTCAAACCTACGCAAAGTGCAATGCCCTTTGCTTCAAGCTCCTTACCTACCAGATAAGCCAAGGGAACCTCATGTTCATATCCCAGATTCAACATTTGTTCAGGAAATCGGTAACCTTTTGAATGATACCTCTTGTGCAGATGTGGTATTTTTGGTCCAGGATCAATTTATAGTTGCACATAAGGTAAGTGGCATACCAGCTAAATAAACAACATCATTACAATTCAAACACCATGCTATATTCCCCCATTGTTGGAGCACTCCACACTAATTTATACTGTTGGCTAAACCAGGGAACATAAAATCACGCCTTGAAAATTGAGTTGTGTCCGACCACTACATCAAGCTTTTGCTCACCCCAAGAACTTACTCAAACACGCACTTTGTGTTTAGTTTGGCAAACCATAAATTTTAATTTTCATAGGTATTTGTTGTCAAGCACTTTTGTATTTACCACACAAATTCCTCAACAGCAACAGTACTGTATGTATTTAAACACGCTTTTTTGTTTTCACATATGACTTTGTAAGATGCATCTTCAGTTGATTGCACAAAAGGGCAAATCTGAAGTTTGCTATTAACTTATCATCTTGTACAAGAGTGACTGCTCACTGTGCGTTAAAACTGAGGTTACCTTTTTTCAGCGTTTAACACTTTGTGTATGCACCTTTCAGACGAGGCTTTTTGTTGACACTATTAAATACAGTACGCAGTAGCGTAATTGGGTTTTCGGCAAGGGTTCATAATTCAATAATTAATACCACTAACAGAAAAAAAATAAAAATAGAAATAAATATTAAAAGTTCAATAAAATGTCATAAAATTGAAAAGAAATTAAAAATTGAATACCATGATGCAATTTGAACTCACAAACTTTGGTTCCTTAGAACACATTTTTAACTGACCGCGCCATCCATGCGATGTGTCCTTTTAGTGGTAAGTGCAGTTATGTACACTCCTGGTTTTGTTTTGTAGGTGGTGGGGGCACCCTGGGGTGAAACTTAAAAAATGGGCCATGAAAGTTTGTTGGAAATAGCCTCTAGTTTACGTGTACAAAATTTCCTGCATACGCATTCAAAACTTGCGACGGTGGACGCTTTTACAGTTTAGTAATAACAAGAAGAACAATAGGAACAGCAGGTTCTGTGGTCTGCTATGTGTGGACCCAAAAATTGGAGGTGCATCATTTTCTTGGATTAATCATCAAAATTAGGAATGAAATTCACTTTTCTTTTGCCTTACAAAGCACAAATTAAGTTAACACAACTTGACTTTCACCTTCTTAATTTGCTTCTTCTTCAAGATTGTATTGATAGCTGCATCAGACACGTTTCAGCAGCTATTTATGATGGATCTATCGGAACAACTTGACAGCAAGCCATCATCCTCCACAACCATCTTGCCTGCCCTTCAAGAGGCATCCCTGCCTCCTCCTCCTCCTGATAGCTTACAGTACATTAATGCTAAAAACAAGCCAACAACTCAGGTACTACTGTCTTCGTTGGATAGTAAAACTGCTACCATGGACAATACTTGTCTAACAGATTCAGTGTTAAGTAGCTCATTGACAAATTCAGATAAATTGTTTTCTGATCCTGAAACAAGAACTAAATCTTTCTCACTTCTGAACACCATTCAGAATCCACTTGGTAAAACCCTCGATCATGAAGCCTTCCATTCCATACTTCTGCGACAGACTAAGGACCCCATTACTGGCAAGCTGCTTCTTCAACATTATGTTGTCCTCAAACCTGAAATCACACCTGATGCATTCAGGATTGTCCTGGAGTTCCTCTATAAGGGATCGTTGTCCAGTGAGGTCAGTCTGACTGATGTGTCGACAGCATCAAAGCTTCTAGGAATAGGTGATCTTACCCGCCTTGTGGTAAATATAATGAATGATCTTCATTACCTTAACCAGCCTATCAGCGATGCGTTCATTGCTCAAAGAACAACCAAGCTATGCGATGTTTTTTTCATGAAAGGTATGTTGTCAGGTAAGCAATATTTTATTCGTTTGTCATTATTATGGGAATTTTAATGGATAGGATAAAGAAGCGATGTTTCAAAGAAATGTTATGTAGAATAAATGAAATGGTATTTAAATGGGGACAGGGAAGACATGATCAGTAGAAGAGAGAGGAGTTATAGGAGGTGATATTGGATTTGGAAAAGTAAATGGGTTGCATAAAAAGAGAGGGAGCTGGGAGGTGCCTTTTCTGTCTGATATGTTCTTCACCTTCAAGATGCCACATGCTGGTTGGTTGTAAATAAGAAAAAATAGGTAATGAGATTCGGAAGATATGAGTAGGATGAAAGAAATTGATAAAGGGATGAGGTGTACAAAGATAATAGGGTAGGATCAGGTAAAGGGTTATGGGATAGGGAGAAAATTAATGGATATGTTGGAAAAATGATGGAGATTGAGACGAAATAAAGGGCATGGTTAGATAAACATTCGTTTTTCTAGGCCAATTAAAATTAACCTAATTTGATACTGTTAATTAATCTCACTTCCTCAGATATGCTGATAAAAGTTGATGATGGTGTAGTGGTCACTCATAAGAGCATCTTGATGGCCCGTTGTGATCCAATGTTAGCAATGCTCGGAGGTCATTTTAGAGAGAGTTCAAGTAGTGAGGTAAGTTTTGCCTATGATAACATTAATATAATGTTACTAGCTTATGCTCCAGGTTTGGGTTGGAGTGTGCCTTCACAAAAATATTTACAAGTTCGAATAGGCGTACTACCAGCTAAATAAACACTACATAACATTTAACTACAGTGACTGTAATATCTGAGAGTGTATGATTATCATTTGAAAAGTGAGAATGTCTTTTCAGACTCATGTGCATTTTAAAAAACCCATTTCTGCACCAGTACTTTGGTTGAACAACTTACATTATACATACATCATGCTTCATCCATCAGTCAATTTAAATTTAGATTACTCTAGAATTAGACAAACTTTTTACCACCATTCTTTCATCAGCTCGCATTGAGATATTTTTAAAATATTTATGCGCTATACAAAAACGGCATTATTATTGCATCTTTCGGAAAATTAGTGGGTTACTCCGATATTGTTCATTTCAGCCCTTGTTGTGGAACAATGAAACTTCTGGTATTGGTACTGGTATGGGCATTTATATTACGCCTTTTCCTTGCAGTTGTAAAGCATGCGGCAGTTCCCAGTGTTCAGGGAAAAACTTAGGCAGCATGTACTGCAGCATTGAACATGAAAACAAGACTACTATATTGTCAAAACAATTAACAATAAAAGCACAACACACACAAAATGTACAACAGACACAACACAAAGCAAAATAAAATAGGAGGTACTAAGATATGAGTCATTCTCCTACCTTTACCTTTACTCTTTTTTTAATATGGTTATGTTTTTTTTGGTTTTTTTTTTTGGTTTTTAGACATACGGTAGGATCAATTGAGATGTTAATAGGATTTGCCATTACTTTTTATCTAAAAGCCCATGACCAATATATCAGCTGATAAGTTTAGGTGCTGTGTTGCCTGATATATTAATTCAATTATGAATGATTAATATTTATACATTTTTTGTAGGTTGCAATTGAAGGGTTTGGAAAAGAGACATTCTCTGCATTGTTGGAATATCTATACACTGACAGCTGTAGCCCTCTGTGCTACCAGGAGGCTATGAATGTGATTGAGCTGGCCAATTTCTTATGCCTTCCAAGACTGGTGGTGATCATGGAAGATATGGTGATCAAGGTTTTGAAGGAAACCTTTGAGAAAAGTAAGAATGACAAACAGATGCAAAAAGAAATTGCTCGTGTGACTTTAGAAACTATCAATCGGGCCAAGGTATGTAGGAATTTATTTATTATTATCAATAGAAAAGATGCAAGAGATTATCTATATAAAGTCCTATACTAATTGTGCCACACAAAGCAGTGTGTGGCTTCAGGTCCCCTTGAAATCCATTGACAACCTTGCACAATGTGCAACCATCTCTAATCTCTGCAGAGCATATCAGTCCTAAGGAGTACCCATTTAATTTATTATCTTACCTGGTAACCTTTTAATCCACTATCCACTATTCTGCCAGGTACCCATTTAAATATTTTACTAGGTACCCATTTAATTTACAGTCTAGCCCGGTACCCATTTAATCCACATTCCTACTCGGCACCTATTAAATTCACTGTCCACTATTCTGCTAGGTACCCATTTAAGAATCTTACCAGGTACCCATTTAGTCCACATCTTTCCAGGTATAGATTTAGTCCACTACCCTGCCAGTACCCATTTAATCCACTTTCCTGCCAGGTAACCATTTAAACATCTTACCAGGTGTCAATTTTAGTCCACTATCATGCAAGAAACCTTTTAATCCATTGTCTTACCTGGTACCCTTTTAATGCACTGTCCACTATCCTGGAGGTACCTATTTATAACATACATCTATAGTGCACCTGGCCTTTTAGGCACGATCTCCCAATTATCCCAGACGACAAATCGGCGTTCAGACGCATTTTCTATTGTTCTACCAAAATGCGTCCGAAAACACTGTTTGAATAGCACATCATTTGGATGCTGATATTCCGTTTTGGCCTTTGCTCCTCCCCTTTAACTATGGCCGATTGGATGCACCATAATACGCATCCAGACGACTCTCTAAAATGAATCATAATACGACTGAGTGTGCGGTCCTGTACCCAAGTACGGACTTGTTTACCTGCTAGTGAACGTCTCTTTGTACGCCACCTGTGTGTGCTAGAACTGACAGAAGTACGTAAATTAGGGTAAGTCCCTGGGCGATGCTAAAAAAATAGTCGGTTGGGTACTAGGACGTCGACGTTCCGTAGGCCTAGTACCATGCATAGGTGAGACTCGCAATATTCAGTGATTTTCGAATCAATAAACAAATATAACGTTAAATAATCAGATTTCTTTTTTAGTTATTTCTGATGTAGTTGCAGCTGGAGTCGCTGGCCATCATCAGTTTTAACAAGCGCGATCACCATCCTCTGCATCTGTGGTAACATCCAGCACAGCAATTAATTGCTCTCCTTTCCGTTGTAAGGGGATCACATGCTAAGACCCATGCTCCGAAAACGTTGTCCATGATCAAAAGTGGATGAAATTTTGCATTATACTAAGCTAAATTATATTTACATTTTATAAAACAAGGTTTATTAATTGAATTTACGTGAATTTCATGCGAAACAAGTTTTTTTATGCCGAATTTCACCGCAAATTTTGACATACAAACATGTAAGGCTAAACCATTGCCAACCCAGTAAAGGTTTTACTGACAACTCGCGATATTACTGTAATTTATTTATTTATTCAACTGAACATACACTTCTGTTTCAGCAGCACACATAAATTTGGTGCGTTCAATGTGTAAAAGAGAGAAAGAAAAACAACTAAAAATAAGTAATTGTAAAAAAAAAAGTTATACCCCATTTGAAAATGGACAGTTCTAAATCCCCCAGTACTCTACTTGTTTACACATGTGGTTCTGGGCCCTGCTCTCTGCACCCAAGGCTTGACCTCGAGGTCGCTGCAGTTTTATTTGAAAGAGCACTCTGTAGTTCGATTAGTCAAATAATAAATCCTAACTAAAGCTCATGATTTGTTGTTAGTACTGTATGACAAGTTCTTCTTCTTCTCATTGCATAATCCCCAAAGGGGCAAGCAACAACTGTACAGACTCTCAAATTCAGAAGATAAATAAATATAAATAGCATAAGAAAAATTATTTCAGTTTTAGTTTTATTTTATTTTTTTGCTTTACGGGCGAAAACTATCCCATATTTCCCTGTTTGCTAAAGCTCTGATCATGTCATTAATGGTCGTGAACGCTGTGTCAGCTAAGAGAGATCCCGGCGTAAATGGAGCAGTACAGGGGGACGAGTCGAGAAGTACACGGCGGACAAAGCGATCCTCATCCATTCTCAGTATATGCCCAAGGTATTTCCATCTCCGCATCCTTACATGGTCTATGATGTCAAATGTAGGATGTTGTGCTTCTTCGTGGATTGTACGCTTGGTCATAACAGCAAGCATTTTAGAATTAATACCATTCAGTTTCCGAGCTATTTCATCTGTGAAAAACCATGCATTTGAGCCATATATCAATGATGATCTACGACACAAATGTAAAGCCGTACTCTCATATCCAAAGGAAGTTTAGTATTTGTTAACGTTGGTAAAATGCTGGTGAATCTTCCAAATGCAATGTCACGCCGATGTTTCAGTGGTATTAATCGGTCTCCGTCACCAGCTATTTCAGTTCCAAGATACACGAATGAATACACATTATCCAGCTGACTGTTGCTCATTAACACTTTTTGCATTGAGGCTTGATATTGTTCGACTTTCATTTTGGTGATGATGCGGTCTGCTACCGTTCCTTTCCTGCTAGGCTTTTTGGCGGTTGGGTCTTTTTTACACCATCGTCCTTTATGGACTTTCAAGATTTCAAGCAATCGATCGCCACCACCATCCCTATAACTGTGGATACACCATCTTCCAACATGCCCTTCTTCACTCCTTGATAATCTACTGTTAAAATCCCCCATGAGTATAATACAATCTCTATGTCCAATATTTTGGAGCAGTGATTCAAGTTGCATATATACGTCAATTTGGTCTGGATTGGTCCTATTCCTTTGCGGTATATATATACCCACAATGTAATAATTGCAGGTACGACCGCATAATTTACAGTAAACAATGCGTGATCCAATGGCGCCGGTACAAATTACCGACTTTAGTAGTCGTTTACTCACTGTTAACGATACGCCCGACCAGGTGTCGTTGTCAGGCGGAATATCTGAGTGGATGGTATGCATGTCCATTGTTCTCCAGCGATGTGTCTCTGTGTAAACACAGTATGTCTAGGCCGATTTCCCCTGCAAGATCTTGCTTTAATTTCGATAATCCACCACAATTCCATGTTCCAATTTTCAAAATTTTTGTGTCTGATAATTGCACAACATGTCCCCTTCTGTTTTGAGAGCCTGTACGCGTGTTTTCACTGCCTGTACGCCGATTTTCACCGGCCATGTTATTGTCTTTAGCTAAATTTTACTAGTCAACCAAATATACATCTCTCAATTCGGAGGATCTACAGTAGAACTTACAGTAAAGAAAATGCAGTGCTGCATAGTATACACAGTACAGGACACAGTAGAGAGTAGCCTCAGAAAATTGTGAGTAACCAGCCATGCGCGAGGATAAAAAAAGATAGCAGAATACCTACCTAGGTCTAGATTTGATTTTATATTTAGGCCAGAATGTAACGCCGACTTACCATGGCACTTAAGTATGTTTGTGATTTGTAATGCCAATGTACAGTCCCACTTTTGCAAGAAAACGTCAGCGCTATTTTTAGAGGTGCGACGTAGTTCTATCTTCAGAGCGGCGTACAAAGCGAATTCCAATGGAACTCGATGGACCTCCAGGCACATTGTCATATAATTTACAAATCTTCATATAAGCATAGAGAAAGTATAGCCACATTTACATATAAGAAAACAATAGAAAATCGTTCAAATGATCAACAAGCGTCCAAATGATTCACCGTCGTCCAGACGTGAGCCGTAATTCAAGCGTGTAGCAAATATTCATATAGCATGGTAATTAGAATGGTTGATTTCTCAGATGCCTTCGTGATACGGTGTTGACCTAGACGCGTTTCTGCCGTCTGGGATAATTTGGAGATTGCACCTTAGTCGTTCACTTTTTGTATACACTTACATTTGGTTGTCCATGCTGGCTAAAATTCGATTTGTAGTGGACATAGGACTGCTTTTTTGGCAGAGTTGCATCGCCATCCTCACCGCCTTCGATGTCGCACATCTTGCTTTGCGGCATTATGTAAGCTCGTAACTGATTGGCTCACTCAGACGTAATTTACTCTACTCACCGAGAGGCGGCGTCGAACACACTGACGATTGCTACGGGATCTTTAGCGCCGATAGTTGTGTTTTTACATGTTGTATGTTTGTTATAAGAAAATAGCACATTAAAAAAAATATAATTTGAAGAAATTTTGGAATGTGTGAGAATGTACAGGCCTCGCATAAGGGCATGACGGCGAAGTTAAATGCTTGGGACTCCCGCAAGATGCTTGAGACTTGACAGGTCTGCATAACTTGGGTAAACATCAAAAACTTTACAGTGCGATAGTATAGGAAAAGGTAATGTTATGGTTGCGAAAACAACCACCATCGTTAATATGAGAAATCAATGGCTAGGAAACGCAATACGATTGTTCAAAATAGTATTTATTAACTTATCCTAGTGTTCTTGGATTGTATGCTTTGAAATTTAAGTGATCTTTTATAAACCTTGGCTAGTCCTAACATCGCAGCTTAGTTTGCTGGTCGAAGGCCCTCATGCATACCCAACCAAGCCGTAGATGTGCTGGGGCCTTGGTCTAACATTTATTGAAAAATCTCAATGTTTACAGCATTAGCAAACAATTAAGGCGAAATAGTTTACTGGGAATTATGATGATATTTGCAGTGATAACAAGGGACGGTCGCAATAGCAATCTCCATGTAAAACACTGCTGTGCCAGTCGATTGTTTATTTACAACACCCAAGAGGTCATGTGACGCCCATCACCGAATCGGTATATTATTTATTCCACTTTTCTGCCAGGTACCCATTTAAACATCTTACCAGTACCGAATTAGTCCACTCCCTTTCCAGGTATAGATTTAGTCCTCTATCCTGCAAGGTACCCATTTAATCCACTGATTACCCTTTTAATCCACTCTCCAACATTCCGCCAAGTACCCATTAAGTCCACTACATTTCCAGGTATAGATTTAGTCCGCTATCCAGCCAGGTACCCATTTAATCATCTTGCTAGCCGTGACCAACTTATTATTAGAAGTCCGAAGATTTTATAACTGTGCTATGTTTCCAGTATTTCTAAAAGCCTATTTTTTTTAATATGTATCTTGAACATTAATTTTTATAATTTTAAATAGGCGGATTTGAGGGGGTGGGGGCCAGAAAGTAAGAGAAAAAAAATTACATTCAAATTTTTAGGCTGAGACTACCATAAACATAACAATTTGTACCTCTGCCCAAACCATGTTTGGCTTAGGTGGTCCTGATCCTCAATCTTTAAAATTGACTTTCTGGAGCCCTTCTATTTAGAATTTCTGGATCTGTTATGTAATTGATAGTAAGTAATGCATCCTGCATTAACTTATAATTTATTCATGTACATCAATATTTTTTATTTTTAATATAATATTTTGTGTAGGCCTATTTAAACTTTGGCTTATTTTATATATTTTTTACTTTCTGATATTTATTAAATATCAGACTTCATAAATGCTGTCTAGCTTTGTCTAGACTAGAATGAATGATTGATTGATTCAAATTAAATCAGATGTCAACATTTACAAGTTCTTGTCGTGGTGATTAATTAATTGTTTGTCATTGTGACACTAATAAGATTGTCAAATGGTTCTATTTTATAATGTCTTCAATTAAATTTTTTAATTTGTTTTTTTTTTTTAATTTCTTATTTGGAAGGGTGATAAAGTTGTTGTGTTTTCATTCCTCAGCTGCATAATGCACATCAATTACGCTTATGGTGTTGTCATCAGACATCAATGAACTTTGAACTTGTTCAGAAGATGAAGTTGATTTGTGAAGTGAACAGTGAAGATCGTGGGTGCCTTGAACACAACAGATGGCCTCCTGTTTATTATATCACTGAGAAAGATTACTACGATAAGTGTCTCAAAGAAAGCACATGTGCACCAGATCCACGCAGCAAAAAACACAAAGGGTGTTTGAAGTAGGGTGTGATGGTGTAAGGATGAATGTAGTTAGGGAAATACAGTACAATAAAGACATGAATAGAATTTAATTAATCATGATTACATACTTGCCATTATAATTATTAAAATTATATCAGCTCTTGTTGGTTAGGCTTGGAACCATTTCAACCCAAATCTTGATTAGGCAATGTAATATAAATGTACAATACTTGTCAGTTGTGGCTCCAAACAATTGCCAACAATAGCAAGTCTGACCGGGGGGTGCAGACCAAGGGACCGACTAAAACTTTGGTCTGTGTCCTGAATAAAATCCCTTGAACGGTTAATGGGAAGAGTTTTTATAGCTTGTATGGCCCAAAACTTTGCTTTTAGACCATAGGAGATTGGTAAACAAAATAAAGTATTTGGATAGGCAAATTAATATATTTGGTCCGACTACGTGGGGTTCAGGTCTGTCCAACAGGGGGAAACTTACCCCTGCTCGTGCCGCCACTGATACTTGTAACTTTTGCAAATATTTGCCTTTGTCTAAATCCTTAGGCCCAAAAAAGGTAAATAAAATTGTTTGCCCTCCTCCACCCGCCCCTAACTCACTGTAAAAAATAGGGGCGGAAAAATTAAAAAAAAGTTTATATTTTAGCTTTTTTCTTTACAAATTAAAAAAAAAATCTGAGATGCCAGATGCCCTACAAATTAGACTAAAGTAGTTGTCTGATGTAAGATATTGCCATTCTAGGCCACTGTGGGTGATTTTTATTCCATCTGGTAGGTATTTAAAAAAAAAAAAAAAATTCATTAAAAAAATGAACTTTTTCCACCCGCCCCTATATATCATTTTTTTTTTAAAAAGAAGGGCAACATACAATTTATTTTTTTTGGCCTTATTTACTAGGGGGGGGGGTGGTGGTGTACTGTAGCTCATGCCAGTTTTCACAACTGCTTCATCCCTGTATATTTTTCGGATTGTATGATGATGGTCCTGACAAACCAAACATTTGTGAAAGTAACAAGTGAGTTTCACATTTCTTAATCATTAAGGTTGAATGGATCCAAAGCAAAAAAAAAATTATGGTAAAAGTCAAATATGACACTCCAAATATCTAATTATGATATTATAGAAAACATACAATTAGTACAATTATTAACCGATTACAATAAAAAAGTTTGGTTATGATCAATCTAGTCTAATTTATTATAGGACCACCTGTTACAGAATGGTGCACTAATCTTGTCCTGCCAATTATGTTTTTAATTGGTCCACACTCCATTTCTCATTTTCTCATCAACTCCCTGGAAAACACATACACTGTAGAGGCTCTAGTAATATACAAGCATAATAATAATTTATTTAATTTAAAGTAATAACTGATGGCCAATTTAATAAACTACCAGTATTAATACTGTTGGATAATAATAATACCAACTAATAAGAAAATATTGTTAATTAGATTTATTTTGCTTTTTTAATATTCATAAAATAACAAATATCTGATTGAACTGTGCCATAATTCTTACCAAAAAAGAAATTTCAAAGATTTTTTAAAGATTTTACTTGATTGTACTAAATTACATAGCTAAATCAATTAGATGTTGGAACTATTTCTAGATAAACACATAAAAGAAGTTGATTATACAAGGTTCATTATTCTCAACTATTAATTCAAGGTTAATTTGGAAAATGCAAAGGGATAAATTTGGTTATGATATAAAACATTTCATGTAGCAAACGAAGTAGTACATATTAAGCCTGGTTTCCATAAAAGCGATACACTGTTGCTACTGAATTTCCATTACAATCGCTACTCTGCGTGGCTGTTCCTGATAATCGTCAAATCTCTACTAGCAATTCGTCTATTAGCTAGGTTCACCCTGTTGGATCTGTCAGGGACAAATCATGACACTGATTAATCATTCACCAAATTCATTGAAAATATCAATCCCGATAAACACACTCTAAATTTTGATGTTGAATATCTTCAAATTTTTGTTTTGGATGACGAGAGCAAGCATACATGGGGTCATGTCCAAACAATACTGGTGCCGAGTATACAATAAAAAAATAAAAGTGCTCTCAAAGTTAGGCCTGTCTTGTAGCTTCAGAAGGTAATTGTCAGTGTGATATTCTCTATTTTCTAGGGCAGGGGTGGGGATAAAATGGGTCGGATGGCTAAAGTGAACTTTAACATTTGCTTGTAACATCTTCATGCATGTTTTTACACTGCTAAAATTCACTGCTTCTCCAAAATAAAACCATGCTGTATAGGTTTTACCATACCTCATAGACAACAACAACTTATAATCGCAACAGATAAAGTGCATTGGTTGAAATTATTTTAATTATATATTTTTTGTTAACATTAACCTATGCCAGTAAAAAGACTGCCATACCATTAATATTAAACAGCAAAAACTACACAGTTTGCATACATTTCACATAGGCAGGTGCGTGGCAGTCAATTTTGTGTACGTTTTCCGTGTGTATGTGTGCACACTCTGCATACTGAGTGGAATTGACTTATGAAATGTTATTACCTAATTAATGTTTATGAGGTATAGTAATAATAAATTCAAATTCAAATTAAACTTTATTGCAATAGTACATATATAGTGGTTGAATGAGACAATTTGCAGTACTTATTATTTCTTATTATTGAGATGTGATAATGATAATATAAAATTTGAACCATTTTACTAAAGGATATACAAGACACAACAATAATAATCCAATTATATAAACTTTAACAAATGATTATAGCATTAATTGGTGCTACTATTAAATATTGATGATTTGAATATATTATTATTATTATTATTATTATTATTATTATTATTATTATTATTATTATTATCAGTAATTTTAGAATAAGTAGCATGTTGCATAGTCCTTGAAATGTGGGTTTTATGTACAATTGATAGCGCCATGAGCACTGAATGCTGGACACCGGTGCTGTGATTGGGAGATAATGCGAGGCACTTACAAGCCCTGTTGACATTAAGCACATATATGTATAACATATTGTTATTATTCGAGAGGTCTCCAGAATTTTTATTGATTACACACTATGCTTACTACCAAAGTATAGTAAATCCTTCTAATGTATTTTTGTGTGTGTGTGTTTAGATGAGGTTCGTAAACACAAAAACCAAGTGTGCACGTGTTGGTACTGAATTGATGACATGCAATTAATGCTGGCCATATAGTTGTGCATGAAGTCTTTCAATTTTTTTGGTTTGAATATTGAACTAGTATGAGATAAAACAATACCCTACCTGCACTTAATGTTGTAAGATATGGTTTTGTTGTTGTCAAACTTTTGTATGCCTTATAATGTCATGGTGGTCCATAAATGTTGTTGACCTAGTGTTACCATAGGTACATTAATACTATTTCCCAAAGGGAAAATCACAGCCTCAAGCCATTTTCAGGCAAGGGCTATTGCCGTAATAATACCTGTGCATTTAAGGCCATGGATTATCCAAGCAATTATTGTGGTAATATTAACGCCTTTTTGTATGAATGGATGATGCACGCTGAGAGAGAGCCATTGGTTAGACTTTTTAGTCATCACAGTCAGATATTGTCGTACAGAAGGCATCCTTGAATATTCCTACAATATTGCGATAACGTAGCTGTCTGAAAGTGGCTTTAGAGTTACCACAACATTTTTTTTATTTAATACCATATTTCAAGAGGGTGAACATATTGAAACTATTTCTGGTGGTTTTTTTATCGAAACACTGTAAACAATCCAAAATAACAGGGCTCAGACAACCTGTATTGAGAATGTGGGCAAACTTTGCATAGTATTCATGGCCTTCAGAGGAGTCTGCTTACCATAATAATAATTATGGAGATATCTATAAAATTATTATTGTAGCACGATTATCTTTTAAAAACTAGAAAAAGGCAATTGCATTTCAATTTGTAGTGATTTAATATGGTATACAGTATACAAATAGGATCGGTGCAATTTGTGGTGGTACAACATTTGCATTCTGTGATGACCAAATTTTGTCTAATTTCATATGTGAATGGTTTAATATTGTTCAGCAATTGGTTGTTGTATGAGTATGCCCTAAACATGGATTATTGTCAGTGGAACACTTTCTTTTCTTCTTGCTCTTCATTATGTATACATTCAATGGCTTTCCAAGGCTTTTTGAAAACTCTGAGAGTTTACATATAACCCCTTTTACAGTTTTGTCTGACAGGGATATCTTAATTTTTTCAACCAGAGAGGCCCATATTTTTGATTTGATATAAAATTCATGGAAATATTTAAAACTGATAATGCTCTGAAGATGTTTGTAACTTTGTTCCTAATTAGCATTCGCATGAAGTCAATTATAAAGGGTGTGAAATATAATCTCACAATATACTTAGTGTGCATGTATTTATTACGTTCAATTATTAAGCCTATGTTTTGCTGAATTTGGCTGATGTAGCTGCATAGAAAGTGGGTTTGAATTCTATATTGTAATTCGACTACAATCTTTTTTTTTTCATGAATAAGGATAATTATTTGAATTTGTAGAAATTATGGGATCTTAAATTTAAAAAATAAAAAGGTTATACAGTATTTTTAAATTAGATGGTATAGAATACAATTTTTAATGTGTCTGATATAAATTTGTTGTGAGTTGTTAGTGAAAAGCAGGCCATACATTGTTTTGTTAAATGTCATGAATTCTTTTAAGAAACTTTCAAATATTTTGCAAGCTATGTTATGTCTTTAGTTATGTTGTCAGTGCTTCTTTCATACACATTTCATGATGGAGCTTCCATTGGGTTTAAGTGTTTTTTGTACACTGTCACTTTACTAGTTTTCACCAATAATCTTATGTACTTATCTTAAAATGGATCTTCCAGATACGGGGTAACATCTCTCTTTTCCTTACATACCTTATTATTTCAAAATTTCTGAATAGATTTTTGTTGGCGGAGGGGTGAAATATTAAAATTATCTTTCTTAAAAATTAGCCTACCCTAAATCTGATACTTCAGTTGGATGTGCTTTTCATAGAGCAAACCGTAACTGATGTAGAAAAAAAAAACTATCATGTAATTTATGTAATGTAGATATAAATATATAGTTTTGTCTATTGAAGAAAAATTTGATTTGTTATACTATTAGTTAATAGCATATATAATCTCTATTTAATCTATATAATAGCTCTTCTGTGGTATACCAAATTTGTTTTTTTCATATTAGTTAAATTATTTTGTTTAAATTTTTAAGTTTGAGACCTATTGTCCGTTACGAGCTTTCTTTCTGGGCTCATATTGTCGAATGTTAATTCTTTGTTACAGTGTCAAATTTTTCGTTTGCAGTTTAGGGAGTCTTAAAAAGTATCATTCAAAACAAAATGATTTTGTGTATTGACTGTAAATAGGTCGAGTGACATAAGCTGATTTTGCACATTTATTTTCATATAAATTTGATGTTATCAGCTTTGCAATAACTTTTATTGTGCTGTAAGCCTTATGTAAAATCGTTGGTCATATAATGATGCTTAAGTTAATGTTTGTAAAATGTAAGTCATTTTATCTAGTATAATATGTATGCCATTCAAAATTGAATAGGTCTTTCTTGGTGAAGACCATAGGCATGTGTAGTGTAGACCATAGACATGTGTAGTGTAGACTGTAGTATCATTTCTTATTGCAATAT